CAGCTCATAATCCACTATGCTACCAAGGCTCCTTCAATATATACACACACATCTATATATTTGTGTAGACATAACACACACTCATATATCACTATACGTGTATAGACATAACATCCACATGGAGCAACAGAGGAAGGAGGACTCAGGAAGAGCAGGAGCTGGAAATGGAGCTAACTGCCTCCAAGAACAACTGCTTCCATTACCACGGCATCCGAAGAACTGGATAATGCCCGGCAGGTGTAACAGTGTAGGGTAAGCACAGGACTGCTAAGCTCAAGGACGGTGGTTCAAACCCACCAGCCGCTCCTCGGAAACCCTATACAGGGTCACTATGGGTTGGAACCGACTCGACGGCACTTTAATATATGTTGGGTCAGTTCCTACCCACAGCAACCATGTATAGGGTTTCTGAGGAGCGGCTGGTAAGCTTGAACCGCCAACCTTGCGGTTCTGACACATTAACCCACTGCGCCATACCAGGACTACACACACACACACACACGCCTAAAAGCCAAACCCACTGCAGTCAAGGCAATTCCGACTCATGTTGTTGTTAGGTGACGCACAGCTTACACAACAGAATGAAACCCTGCCCAGTCCTGAGCCAGTCTCACAATTGTTGCTATACTTCACCCCATTGCTGCGGCCATTTTCTCAGTCCATCTCGTTGGGGGCCTTCCTCTTGTTTGCTGAACTTCCAGTTTCCCAAGCATGATGTCCTTCTCCAGGGACTGGTCCCTCCTGATAGCATTTCCGAAGTATGAAAGATGAAGTCTTGCCATCTTGGCTTTTAAGGAGCATTTCAGCTGTACTTCCTCCAACATAGATTTGTTTGTTCTTCTGGCAGTCCATGGGACTTTTAATATTTTCCTTCAGCACCATAACTCAAATGCGTCACTATGAGGCTGTTGAAAAGACCAGAGTCTGGATGGGGGTGGGGGGTACCCCTTAGTCCTCAAACTGGTCTCTGCTCTTGAACACTTCAAAGAGGTCTTGGGCAGCAGATCTGCCTAATACAATATGTCATTTGATTTCTTGACTGCTGCTTGCATGAGTGTTGATGGTTGATCCAAGCAAAATGAAGTCTTTGACAACGTCAATCTGTTCTCCATTTAGCATGATGTTAGTATTTGGTCCAGTTGTGAGGATTTTTGTTTCTTTTATATTGAGGTATGATCCATACTGAAGACTGCAGTCTTTGATCTTCATCAGTATTTTAAGTCCTTTTCACTTTTAGAAAGCAACATTGTATCATCTGCACATCACAAGTTGTTAAGGATTCTTCCTCAAATCCTAATGCCATGTTCTCCATATAATCCATCTTCTCGGATTATTTGCTCAGCACACAGATTTGCGTAAGTATAGCGAAAGGATACGACGCTGAGCCCAGATGTTACCTGATTTTAAGTCATTCAGTAGCTCCTTGTTCTGTTCAGACGACTACCTCGTGGTCTATGTACAGGCTCCTCATGAACATAATTAAGTGTTCTGGAATATCCATTCTTCACAATGTTTTTCATAATTTTTCATGCTCTATGCAGTCGAAAGCCTTTGCATAGTCAGTAAAGCACACGTAAAGTTCTTTCTGGTGTTGTCTGCTTTCAGCCAAGATTCCATGTGACATCAGTAATAGGATCCCTCGTTCCATGTTCTCTTCTGAATCTGGCTTGAACCTCTGGCAGTTCTCTGTTGCTGTACTGTCGCAACTGTTGTTGAATTATCCTCAGAAAAATTTTACTTGCATATGATATTAATGATTTCCACATTCTGTTGGTTCACCTTTCGTTGGAAGGGAAACAAGAATGGATCTCTTCCAATCAGTTGGCGAGGTAGCTGGCTTCCAGATTTCTTGGCATAGATGGGTGAGTGAGTGCCTTAGTGCTGCATCAGTTTGTTGAAAGATTTTAATTTGTATTCTTTCAGTTCCTGGAGCCTTGTTTTCCACCAGTGCCTTCAGTGCACTTTGGACTTATTCCTTTAGTGCCACTGGTTCTTGATCATGTGTTACCTCTTACAATGGTTGGGCATCAATTATTTCTTCATGGTACAGTGACTATTCCTTCTATCTTCTTTTGATGCTTTCTGCATCGTTAAATATCTTGCCCATAGGATCCTTCAAGACTGCAAGTCGAGGCTTGACATTTTTTTCAGTTCTTTCAGCCTGAGACATGCTAAGCGCATTCATTCTTTCTTTTAGTTTTCTCACTCCGGGTCTTTGCATACTTCATTATAATACTTAACTTTGTCTCCTCAGCTGCCCTTTGAGCTGTTCTGTTCAGCTCTTTGACCTCCTCATTCCTTTCATTCATTTTAGCTTCTCTATTTCCAAGAGCAAGTTTCAGAGTCTTTTCTGACATTCTTTTTGGTCTCTTCATTCTTTCCTGTCTTTTTCATGACCTTTTGCTTTCTTCCTATGATATTCTTGATGTCATCTCACAGCCTGTTTGGTCTTTGGTCATTAGTTTCTCATGCACCAAATTTGTTCTTGAGATGATCACTAAATTCAGGTGGGAGATGTTCAAGGTCATATTTTGGCTCTTATGGACTTGTTTTAATTTTTTCCATCTTCAGCCAGAACTTGCATATGAATAATTGATGGTCTGTTCCATAGTTTTTCCTTGGCCTTGTTTTGGCTGATGATAGGGAGCTTTTCCATATTGAGCTATCTATCTATCTATCTATCTATCTATCTATCTATCTATCTATCTATCTATCTATCTATCTATCATCTATCTATCTATCTATCATCTATCTATCTATCTATCTATCTATCTATCTATC